TCGTATCTCTCTCTCTCTCTCTCTCTCTCTCTCTCTCTCTCTCTCTCACTCATCCCCCCACCCCCACCCCCATACAGCATCCATCATCACGCTACCTACCTATCATACCGTACCAACCAACAAACCAACCAACCAACCAACCACCACGAATATAATAATAATATCATCATCATTAATGGAGAGTATAATACAGTACAGTAGGAATGTAGGCTGAAAAGAAAAAAAACCCCCCCCCACGGATTTTCCATTCCCCCGGCCCCGTTACCGGAATCGGGTGGTGTTGGATTTTTTTGATTCCTTTCTGACACTTGTGGTATCTCATTCTTCATTCACTCATCCATTCATGCTGGTGTCCGTCGTAAGTCCATTTCGATTGTTGGTTTGTGGCGGGTATCGTATCGCACAGTACTCGTAGCTACCGTACCATAGAACACCGAGTATGGCAACTCTTCGCCGAGAGATGTCTCGCACATCACGGGAGATGATTTAACTTTTTTCGAACCCCATTGTCACAATCGTCCAGATAGATGGCGACGAAGGGCTCGAGGCAAAGTACCGTACCGTAACACAGTTACCGGTCCCGGCACCGCTTACCGCTTACCGATTACGTCGAGATCTGGCGACTTCCTGCCTGCCCGTCCGTCATATCCAGGTTTTTTTGCTCGATTCGATTTACCGGCGTGGGTTACCGTACGAGTTCAGCTATGATATACTCGTATACCGCTACCCGTACCGCAGCGCTGTTGTGAACCGCCTTCTCCTTCATATTATTTATGATATACAGATTTTACTGGGTACCGCACTGCACCGCACTGCACAGCACAGGATAGCAGTGTTGCTGTGGTACTGTACCGGTTGGTAACGGTGCTACTCGTATATATCGTAGTGACTTTTTTTTCCTTCTTTCCTTCTTTCTTTCTTTCTTTCTTTCTTTATCCGCGGGTTCGGCGGTGCGGTAGGGGTGATGATGAGGATAATTGCGGTGAATGGCGGAAGGCGTTCTTTTTTTGTCCTGATGGGTTGTCGTAGGCTGCGATATCATACTTGTAGACTATGGTATTCTTTGAGTTGTGGCCGCTGTCGGGACTGGTACATGTACTGTACCGGTATATCGTATGGTAACAGGCACAGGCACAGGCACCGGCCGATCCATTAACGCCGAATCCGCCGGCGGGGGTGTGAGGCTGCGGTACAGTACCGCACATACGCAGTAAGATATGGTAACTGTACCGTATTATACAAAGCTGTGTGTCTAGATACCATACCAGACCAAGTAACCTGTACTGTACTGTACAATAATGATACCATACCTATCCTCTCCTCTCCTCTCCTCTCCACAGTACTAGCAACCCTCCACCACACGCGTCACTTATCACCCATTCCTTTTTCTCAACTCCCTTCCACAAACTCGGGTCTTCCGTCTTCCCCGTCCGTCCGTCCGTCCGTCCATCCATCCATCCATCCAGCTTGGCGGTTATGTTGAGTCAACCACGAAAAAGGAAGGAAAAGTAAAAAAAAAAAAGAAAAGAAAGTGTGTGTGGGAAAAGATGATGGGAAAAAAGAAAAAAAAACATAGGTATTTACCGGATTTGGATTTGTTTTTTTTGTTTTTGTTCACGACGGTTTTTGTTGGCGGTTGTGACTCGGTGTCGAGGAGTGTAGAGTACAGTACAGTACTCCACGAGTACGATATTGCGTACGATACGAGCAGTACAGTAGTGTAGAACCGTTGTTATATACGTGATATTTTGCGGTGGGTGCATGAGAGGGTTTTGTTTGTGGATGTATGGTATCATACCTCACCCTCCATCACAATCGTCGAAAACCACATTCACAAGCACTCACTCGGTGCGTTTGTTATGATGGTAGCATAGTTGTGATATCGTAGCATACCATACCATAGCCCACTATGATAAAATATCGGTACCGGTACCGTACACCTCCAACAAGCCAAGCGATATCTCAAACCCTCCGAATCGGAATAGAAATAACCCACACAACACACCTCCAACAAAACAGAACAAAACAGGAACACAAAATATCACTCGGGGAAGGCAAATTGTGACGCGCTTTCCACCATCGCCACCATCAACAACAAAAAAAAAGGAGTAGCTGTAGGGGTGGGTATATACAGTAGCCGGTCTAGAACGTCCCTACGGTATTGTACTGGTACCATCACCACACCGTGCGCACTCCTATCATAATCGTGCAGAACCGAGCACAGGCCGCATACATGATACGCGGCCCGTTGTGCCTGTAGAGTAAGAGTAAGAAGTACGACCACAGTGGTGGTGGTGGCGGTGGCTGTCTCAGGCGGACTGGTTCATTTCATTTCAGCTTCTGCTTCATGGCTTCGCACTTGTTGGTTCGTACCGTGCTCTACTGTGTAATAGGGTGATTTATCCATCCATCGATCGATCGATTGGTTGGTTGTTTTTTTCTTTCTCTTTCTGTCTCGTCGGTTTCTAGCGCTATTATGATAATTTCGGTATCTCCATGCGATGGTTTTTTTTTTAATTTTTTAATTTTTTTTTGGGGGGGGGGGGGCGCTGGGGAGTTTTGACTGGAGTGCGAGTGAGACGTTATGATTGCTCGTAAAGTGAGGAAGGGGGAAAAAAACGAAGGGGGGTGGTGATACTGTATTCATGTTTCGGGTCGGCATTCTTGTTTTGTCGTGTGTGTGTGTGGATTCCTTATTATCAGTATTTTTCTTCTCCCTCTTCCAACGGGAAAACATGGAATGATCGGGTTGTTTTTGGTTGGTTGGTTGGTTGGCTGGCTGGCTGGTAGTGTGCAAGTGGATCGGTCGGTCCTCTGGTTCATCTATCGGGAATAACGGATGATCACCGCCTGCCTAGATTTACCCAAGACATGTATCGTGATGGTGATAAACCTCTTATCCACGGGACCCCACAACACTCCAGAGTGAACATCGTCGTCGTTATCATCATCGTATGATGAAACGAGCACTACGACCAGTTCGGCCATTGTAAACTTCTTCACCATACCGGTACTGTATATGATAGGATATCTAGCTGATCACGTTCCCTCCCATCCATCCATTTATTGTTCCGTAACCCAGTTCCACTCCTCCACCATATCAATTAATCCTATACATCCAGCTAGCCAGAGGAATACCAGGAATAACACCCACAAGAAGGGAAAAGTGAGAAAGGAAACCAGAGACAAAAAACAATGTGATATGATCAACACCAAAAAAGATAACCATCTCCCCACTTTGCACACTCCTTCCGATAACGCAGTGGGGCAAAGACATGAAAAAGTGAGACCAGGAAGAAACCGCTCTCCAAAAAAGAAATCCCAATCCGTTCACCATTTTCGCCATGAACCTTTCCAAACCCAAAACAAAGCCAACCTTCGGGGGAAGGAGTATGAAGTGATAGAAACAAAAAGTAAGCTCAAAGGGAAAAAGAAAAAACAAGGACAGGGTCAAATCCAGATGCATAGAAATGCTAATTGAAAACTGATAAAGTCATGGCTCATAAAGAGAATACTTGGGGGAGAGAGAAAAAGGAAAAAGTTACCCACACAGGAAGGTCGAGGAGCAATTGGTGTGGTGATGGATGGACGGACGGATGAAACCGGATTCAACGAGGAGCATAACTAGGAAACACTTTTCGCCCAGCAATGTCGACGTGATATTCCACTATCCCAGTGTCGGTGGCCACATACCTACGGACGGGTTAGCGCCGGGCATTGCTCCAGCATGTTGACACGGGCAGTCTCCCCGTGACCAATTCTGGAAAGGGAAAGGAAGGGGAAATGGAAAAAATAGTCACGTACAATTTGCTCCCATCACGGCTCAGTGTACAGCCCGTGATATCAACGCCGTCGCCGTCCTCACGATACCCGGCACCCGCATCATCCGCAATTCCGGCTGCCGCATTACTGCTTGCTGCGCGCCGCCTCAGGTAGCTCTGTCTTCGCTCCTCGGCGATTAGCAGGTTGAGTTGCTCCCTGTTTCGCTGGTGATCCACCTGACTTGCCTCGATTGGCCGTGATGTTCTTGGGGTTTCAGTTGGGCTCCAGGTGAGTCTTTGTGGGGCCCCGCTCACATCAGTCACCGGTGGGTAAGGAGGGGTTGGGAGGGGCACCGGGTACTGCACCGAAGGTGTCGAGGTAGATGTGGACTGGTCAGTGTATGATGGGTGGGTGGAATTGCGACGTCGTGGCGGGTCGTAATTTCGTCTCATCGCACGTTCACGCTCAAGTTGTCGTTCACGATAATCACGGAGAAGCGCGGGCGTGGTTGGGACCGCAGGGGCATTGGGCGGCTGTGTTGTGGCGATAGGTTGTGAAGGCTGGGGAGCTGTCGTTGTACGAGTGAGCGGGTGTGCCGCAGTATAGGGAGAATTCGGAGCACGCGCAGGAGTCGCATAACTAGGAGCGTTATTTAATGCTGAGGTTGCCCACCACTCGTGAGAATTCCCTCGTACTCTAGAAACGAGTTCCGACAGTTCATTAAATCGATGACTCAAGAATGCGTGAACATCATCATCCCCAGCCGTAGCCGTAACGGAATCCTCCTCAACCGCTTCCTCGTCCCTTGCGGTCCTCCTGCTAGCGGCGCCCTCGCGTCCGCGCCAACGGGGGGTATCATCCCCTTCAGCCGATTGAATCTCAGCCTCGACCAAGTCATCCCTTTCCACGAGAATGTCCACAACCTGTCGTTTGCTAAAGTTACTCCTGGCATCCGCAACGCATATTCGGCCAGAATGCTCGGCCCAAACCAGCAAATCCCAAGGGGCCGGGGAAAACTGTACGCTCCTGACAGCACCCGCATATGTCTTTGGCCGTGAAGAGGGTATTCTCTTGACAATGGGGGACGGGCCCCCGGGATAGGCGTTAGGGCATAGGTACCGGGTATCGAATATGGTTATAGAGCCGTCCTGTGATGCCACGGCGCATAGGATCGAGGAGGGGGAGAAACTCGTTGAAATCAAGGCATCCGTTCCCGCGGTCAATGGAGGATGTGATGATAAAACCCAAGACTCAGCACCGGCCTCTCCGATCCCGGTGCCGGGGGTCCCCGGACCCGACCCGGCAGGAGAAGCCGGGTGGTAGAAATACACCTTCTCCGAATCACCCACAACAACCAGGTGCTGCCCATCCGGGGATATGGAGGCATGATTCGTGGCAATGCTCAGATGTAACGTCGTAAGAACCTTATCTTGAGCCAGATGGAATATCCGTACCGTCCTGTCGTTATTCCTAAATCCGAGCAAGCAAACCGTCAGTCACCGGGTAGGGCACGGGGTGAGAAGATGAATTACGTGAGGACCGCCAACACATCGTCATCACTCTTCGACGAGGGAGGTCGATGCAGGGTAACCGAATTCACAATGAGCCCCCCCAACTGGCTGACTCTGATATCGGGGCCTATCCGCCCTTGACCCCCAGATGTAGACTCCCTAGCTCCCTCCCCTTCCTCGACTTCATCATCCTCCCGTCGTTGGTCCGGGCTCTTGTCCTGCCGCCTCACACGTATCGAAGCAAACTGCCCATTCTCAACGCCACCGGCGCACACCCAACCGTACTTCGCGCCTATACATCTCGGGCCGAATGGCAGTGTGGCCACGATCTCGCGTTTCCTAGTTGCCGGATTCAGGGAGTAGACGTTGTTATCGGTAGGGTAATACAGGGTATTCGGGGCGGGCGAACACAGCAACGAGCGCAGTTGCCAATGCCTACCAAAGCGGTCAATTCTCAACGGACAAGAGGGAGAAGGGTGCTCGTGAAGGGGAACCCACTTGAAGGGTATTTTGGCATGAAAGAAGGTGAGGGGAGCAGGCAGGAGGAGTTGTTGGTTTTGACTACGGGGTTCACGAGTTAGCGATTCCGTTGCGGCGGCAGCGTGTGGCACAGGAGGAACTGAGTCTTGGACAGCACATACGCAGGGTCGTCGATAGTCATTATCTATCCGGCAGCCGATGAGGCAGGGGAGCACTGAGTTTTAGTTATTTTTTCTCCCCCTTTGATTCCTTTCTTCTTTCCTTTATTTCTCTTGTTTTCTCTTCAGTAGGATGAAGCTGAATAGTTCAGTTGAGGTTTGGGATAGGGTGTATGGGGAGAGTCCAAAAGTGTTTGTTGCAGGTGTGAATGGAGATTTTTCTTGGTTTGTGGTTCTTGCTGATGGTTGCAGCGGTGGCAACAGTGGTGGTGGTCGTTGCGCTGTTGGCGTGGCGAAGGGTGGATGACGGCGAACACGGGACAAGGGGCGATTGATGGTTGATGTGGGATACTGGGAGTGAAGTGTGGTTGCTGGCCTTGAGTACTATCTGATGAGGGGAAGGGGGACTGTGTTCGGGGGTTGGTGTGGGAGTCGGTGTTGGTGGTCGGCGGTCGTTGTCGCTGTCGCTGTCGCTGTCGTTGTCGTGCTGATGGCCCAATGGTGATGATGAGTGATGAAGACCTCTGTCTCCAAACCAACCAGGAGAGGGATACTCCGGCTTCTTTGCTGTCAGATTGGGCGCAAAGATAGAAAAAGCAGTCGAGTGGGGAGCTCCCACCTCCCAATGGAATTTCTGAATGAACCACCGGCGCCCTTACCTGGGCTGGTAGGCAGTAGGTGGAGTTACTATTGGCAGGATCCTAATTAGAACGGAAGAAGAGCTCGATATTATTATCGAGATACCGGTAGTAGAGCCTTCCACCTGGGCCCTTCCTGAAAGTAATAACGATAACAAATTGTACGATAGCATGGTAATAAGTAAATTCCTCCTTTTTCTCCCTCTTCTCTTGCCCCCCCCCCCCCCCTTCCCTCTCCCTCTCTCCTGCTACCTCTCTCCTTCCATTTCTCGCCTTCACCATCACAATACTCTCTCGATCCCTCTCAAATCTCAGCGAATCAATGATCGGCTCGCTTGGCAGACAGGAGTATCCCCGTCCACACGATTTAGCACGCGAAACGGCTTGTCCACCCGCCTTCCTGCGCACCGTACGACACCCCCAGAGTCCTATCTCCCCACATCATTCGCTACCAGACCTCGAACAAGCATATACTTCCCCTAAATGTGGAAGTCAAGTACAAGCACCGCACGCCTTCAACCGATCCAACATCCCCCCCTTCAAGAAGAAATTAGGCGATTACCAAGGTAGCTGGCAAGCTGCTCGTAACGCCGAAATGAAGGATAAATGATGGAAAAGGGGAGAACGTGAATGCTGATGGTCGAGGCTTTTCCCTTGCTGGCAATTTTTTTTCTTTCATGCTGAGAGAATATCATACGAGACAATATTCGAAATTTCCCCGCATCTCCAATACACATTGCAGCGGAGATTTTTGGTGTACTTTTAGTTTTCCCTTTCAAATCCCTCTCTCCCTCCGCGTCGAGATCTATCCTGTTTGGCGCGATACCCGAGAACCCTCGTTTTCGTGGAGGAAAAATAATAATATCAGACAGCAAACCAGTTCGGTTCTAAAAAAAACAAGCAAGTGATCTGCAATGCGGCTGGGTGTGGGGGGACATTACTGCACCTCGAGTAAGTGCCGAATTCATTCATGTAGTCTCACTCGCCTTTCCGACAACGCCGCATGAGATCAGAGGCAGAAAGGAAAAGCGGGGGGGAGGGCTGCATTGTAACCCCCGTCGAGAAAGAGTTTGGGGGGTGGTGGATAGGAGGAGAATAAAAGAGGGAACCTCCCTAGTGGTGATGTGGGGAGGCCTAATGTGCCTGTGGGTATCGTGTTGATGGTTCGTCTGGATAGTCATACATTGCGCCCAGACACGCACTATGCGCTCACCCATCTATTCCCCTGTTTTTTTAGAGGGCGGGGGACGAGGCCCGGGTATCAAGGATATCCTAGTCTCTTGCGAGCCCCCGTCGAGATTCCAGCCGCAACAACCATGCATCATCCCGTGGCCAATCTCATTGGCCATAGAAGGAGGTGCGCAGCCCCCAGACGCCAAGGGCGATCAAGGAATCCCGGAATCACGAAATATCACTCGTCGTGAATGCTCGAAGGAGCCTGCCGTGGGCTAGTATTTAGGTTAAACAAGAGTGAGAAAGCCATGCACTGCTCTTGTATTACCAGACTTCGGGACAAGCATAAGCTCCTGCACAGAGCAATAAGGTCGGCAAGTTAGGCACCGCCCGCCTAAGGGTGCATCAATGGTAATCCTGGCCCAAAAGGGACTCCAACTATTAGCTCTCCGGCCAGTTCAGCGGGCGCATGACAATAGACAGAGGGATACCCGATAAGAGCCAGAGATATAATACTTGAAAAATGACAAGTCGCCCGGGGAGCTGTCCGACCCGGAGCCGTGGTAATGTCTCCATAATAGCCAACAGTCCAAGTGCCGTATCCTTAAACACCACCATTAGATCGCCGGGTACCGGTAGAGTACTACCCAATCCAAACCCCATGGAAAAGCTTACTCCGCATCTGCATCACATCACCCAACCTTGACGATGGGCCCTGCATAATGGTCCCAAACCTTAAATAACCAGCGCCAGGATCATCCGGGCTAGATCTCGGAACACCTTAAGGAATCGCCGCAGTCCCTGCGGAGTCACAAGCACACACCTCAATCCCCGAAATAGTCCAATATAGCTGCGATAAAACCACCCTAGACGGTATTAGATGGAAAGGTGGCCTTTGTGTTCGGGGGAATCGGTAATTGGGTGAAAAAAGTGTGGATCGTGGGTTATAGACCCCAATCTAATGGGGCCCTCCCTGAGACCTGCGGAAGATCCCTGGGGCTATGCCTGTCCACACGGTAGAACGGAAGCTCAGCTGCGCACGACACGATGTTTGACCGGTGGAGTTGGTAGCCTGATCCTTTGATGAGACTCTCTTAAAGTGCTGCATAGGGCGCGATGCACGTGACCGAGCCGGCACGATGGTATTATGACTGAAACTCGTGAAAGCAAGACGCACAGCCAGAGTAGAGGGAGTATACATTCAGCACTGCAGGCTATATCACTCAATTCTAAGCAGCCACTTATGAAAACATTTGAGTATAGGGATGTCTTTTTTTATAGGACGAAAATGCCAAACTGTTAGTGTAGACCTCAGTTATCTACTCTCCCCCGAAATCCTTCCTTCCCTACCACTCCTCATCCATCGGTATGGAACCCTCGCAATCCCCTTTTTGGCTTAATATTATCACTGGCCTCCTTAGCTCCTCCTCATACCCGAGTCCCTCTTTTTGAGCATATATATATATATCATACTAGTACTTCCCAACCCCACCCGCCCGCCCAGCAGACCCTGAACGATCCGGGATCCCCAAACAAGGGCAAAAATAATCTATCAGGAGCTATGATATTTCATCTCAGTTTGGGGAAATTCTCGTGACGACCCCGATACAGTAAGTCCCTCTGATCTTCCCCCTCTGATCGCCCGGGGGAAAAAAACTCGGTGCCACATAGCCGTACATTACTGGGATACGATATCTCTTCCTGATTCTTCTCAAGGCCGAATACATCTCTAGTATGATTATCCTTTTTTTTTCTCTTCCTCTTTTTTTAATATTATATACCAAAGAGGAACCACCACATGATTATTCCGGAATCCGTCATCCTCCCCAATCCAATTGATGCTAAGCGCCTAGTCAATAATAGCTCTAGAGGCCTCTACGAAGGTGGGGCACATTCATCCCGAAGGGAGGGAGGGTCCTTTGCATACAGTATTGGGCACACATATCATATCATACTCAGGTGGTCTCCCATTCCGACTATGATATCCTTTGCTACGGAAATCGTCTCGGCGGGTTCAAAAGGGCTGCGCCAGGCACAGGATTATGATACCGTGTCCTATTAAAATCTTATCGAGCCCTAAGAGTGGTCAAAAAACGGATACTATCATACTCCCCCCCCCCGCGCAGCTCACCGTCCACTTCATGCATATTGTCATCACACCCTTGATATACCATAGCAAGATTCTATCAAGCGCCGAGGATTAATGGGCAATCCAGAGTTTTATTCACCATCGAATTTTGTTTCCACTCAAGAAACCCCCTCCAATTATCCCATGGACTGCAGCTCAATCCGGGCTGTACCGGATGAGAATCTCCAATCTCTCTCAAACTCTATGGAAAATAACATTTTTAAATAAAAATTAAAAAATTAAAAAATTAAACAAAAGTGAACACCATATCCTTAATTCCTAGAAAGTATCCCAAAACGCATAGAGAAGACCAACCAGCGAGAGAGAGAAGAGATTTCCGCTGAGCTAACCCACGTCGTGATATATTTCAAATCGACACCTTTCTTTTGCACCCCCTCCCTTCCTCCCTGAAACCAGAATACCGCAGTGAAAACCCCCAAAATCCAAAAAGTACACAGTATCAGAATCGCTTTCCAGAAAGGAAGAAAGAAGAAAAAAATAAAAAAATCCACACAGTTATGATACCGCTGAATAATTGTTTAACCCATCTTTACAATTCCGGAGAAATCCTACCTATGATATCATACCCATTTTACCTACCACACCGGTATACGATACGATACGACACGATACGATAAGGTAGGTACCGTACCCGCAGGCGTACTGGTGATGAGTTACGTACCGTATGATACGATAAGAGGTGGGAAACTTTTCCACGCATGATAATAATTATTATCATAGCAATGCCCCCCCCCCCCAAATAATTTTTTTACCAACCCTGACCAAGACAAGCGAGGACCAACATTATTATCCACACTACGGGAAACATTATTCCGGTATCATACCGGTAACTTATACCACGATAATATTATGATGGTGGCGGGCAGCGCAACCAACCCAACCCGTACTCCCGTTTCGAGTGATCGCCAGTGATTACGGGACCCTCGTTCGCGGGCGGACGGACTGCGATCCATGGCTCGGCACGACGCGATGATAGTTATGATAACTCGGGGGCCGACGGACACACAACGACTTCTGAATCGCGGCGCTGTGGCTCTTGCTCTGCTCTGCGACCCTCCTTTTGCGGATACGTATAATTATTGTGGGCGCGACAAACGATATCGTACATGTAGGATGCTGTGACAAGCTGAACCCTGGTTTCGGGCTGGTTTTGTGTGCTGGTGGCAGGATATATATATACGGTATGGATACGAGTACGGTAGGTAATTACTCTGCTTTGTGGAAGCGAAACCTCCCAAACTCTATTACTGCTATGCTCGTATATCCAAGATAAGGATTGGTATGATACCCGTTCGCACTTTCGACGGATGTGTAGCAGTTACCCATACCCGGGTGCTGTATAAACTCTATGATACCAGTACAGCACCCGAGTACTCGTGCTCCATAAAAAGGACGGCGATTCTTAGCTTCGGGGACACGAGCACCGCGAGGAAGGAAAGAAGGAGAGAGGGATAGAGAGAAAGATGGCTCCGGCTCATAGCAATCCTTAGACCCTTCCTCCCATGATACCATACGTACGATATTTTACAAGTACCGGGAACCGCAGTCTATGAAAGGGGTGGGAACAGGGGGGGTCCCGGTGAAAAAGTGACTGCTATGATAGAGGCACAACAATACTGCCATGCGCAAGTATCATAAAAAAATAATTTTAAGAATAAACCCATTGAACAATACGCAGAGGTAGCGACCATCCTCGCTTGAGCCTCACAATGGAAAGAAAAAAAAAACATGGCTACGACAAATACGTGCCAAGAGAACACTGATAACCGAGCGATCGATTGCAGGATCGATGGAAAAAAAAAAACCCCCCTCCCACAAAGTCATGATTTCAGGGGCCACGCAAAGATTACGACAAACCCCCTTTTTCCCCCTCTTCCTGGTGAGAAATTATTTTTTACCGAACCACCATAATTCCCAAAATCCACGATACTCGAGGAAAGGGGGAGGAAAAGAAAAAGAAAAAAAAGGGGTGTGCAAAAATTCATCTTTCCCTCAAAGCCTCGGAACAAAGCCCAAACTCCAATGGAAAAAAAAAAAGATGAAGCCTCCGAAAAGGAATAAATCAAAAATTAAGCAACCCAATAGACCCGAAGGCCTTTGGCAGAGGCTCGCGTCCTCGCTGTGCAATGAGGTCGGAGATCCCTGAGTCTTAACTCTTCTTGAGCAGAAAACACTGTCGCTAGGTAAGTATGAGGAGGTAAGAGGGTCGTGGGGAGGGAGGCATTATATAGTGAATTCCGGGACTTGGCGCCAAGTGAATTTTCGCCGACGGGCAAGGGGGTCGTATCACGTTTTTGTTGAGAGGGTGGGTGGGGACCTTTGGGGGGGTGGCCTAAATTTGGTTTAGGGTTTAGGGTTTGTGCCCGGGTGTGTGTGTGTGTATGTGTGGCATGGTTTGTCACTCGGTTTTGTGACTTTTGTGGAAGCGGTCTGGTGGCGTGGTATCATATGGGTGCTCGAGTGCATAGCAGATTGTGATAATCTAGCTACCGGAGGAGTGGACTGAATCACGGGGGCTCAAGTGCCGTGTAATTTAAGTGCCGTGCAAGTCTTCATTTCATCATGATAATATTCTCCAGCTTTGTTTTGTTTCTGTCCCCGCAGCCGCACTGTCATCCCATCCACTCATCTTCCACTCCACCTCCCAATCGCCACCGAACGCACCCAGTATGGTACAAGTACGATACAGTACAATACGGCAACTCCCCACCCGAGTGACAACTCGTGAAAACGGAGCTTTCCTCGTCCTCTCCTCGTGCGGCGGCGACTCCGAATTGCGCGTATGCTTCCTTCCAGCTCTGGCTCCACCGTCACCTCACCACAGCTGTTCAGGTTGAGAAAACGCTTGCATGTGTTTATGAGTGAGCATGAGCCAGGCGAGTTAAAATATTGGTCGGTCAGGATTGGGAGGGTGTGTGTGGCCTGCGCTGCCGTAAGGGCCAGTCTTTGTTTTTTTTTGTGTTCTTTTTTACTTTTTCTTTGGAGGCGAGGCCTTTCTTTACTCGTACAGCTGGCTCGCGGTGCTCGACTCTCTGGTTGGTTGGTGACAGGATCAAGAGCCAATCAGAGTGCATTGGGTTCGCCTAAGTTTCCCTTAAACTCGGGTATGGGTGCGGTACTTGTACGAGTACGATTATGTTGTGGTACGGTATGTTACTAATACTCGTACTGGTAGGTAGGAGTGATCAGTTCTCCTCGCTTGTTTGCTCGCCAAATGTAGCAATGAGAGCAGTCGCGCTCTCTAATTATTCCCTCGCTATTTGCACGAGGTCTTGGATGCTAAGCGAGCTTGCAGGCGCCTGCCGTGAAAGGCTCGAATAGGATCTCGCCTGGACGTTGGAGTTGCCTCTCCCGGTAAGGTCTGTTATATAATTTTTCTTTTTCAAACTTGTCTCATGAGAGTGCTGGCTGAGGATCCCTTCGCTTGCGTTTTCTCCCTTCATCCGAAGGGGGAAATTCTGGACGTCCTAGCGTCGTTCTCGAGTATTCCAATTTTCATGGTACCGTGGAAACTGGAGCAGGGAATAAATGTGCTAAAGTTATGGCGGCAACTGTGGGACGTTGTACGAATAGTCGCCTCTCCTACTCGTACTGTGGTAAGGCCCTGTGCACTGGACTACCGGCAGGACGAATGCCGCCTTTCCTTCTGTCTTGTCTCAACTGAGCACTGAGCTGCGGTATTTTCCGCTCGCGTAGCTCCAACGTCTCGGCGGATTCGTCTTGCGTTCGTGTGCCGGTACTTGTGCGGTACTCGAGTACTGTACAGTACTCGTACTCGGCATCGTTATTCGAAGCGTGGATGGAATTTGGTCTCCGCGGCGGTTTTAGGAATGGAGCCCATGGACTGGGGAGATGGGTGTTGCGTCATTGGTTTCAGGTAGCGAGTGTCCTCTTTCTTTCTTTTTTTTTTTGTATCATACCGGCAGGTATCGTGGATAATATTATTATTATGTTGTACGAGAAGGCACGAAGGGCGAGGTGGTCACCCCTGTTCGGACCACAGGAAAATAGCAACTCACCACCAATCATGGATACAGTATCAAGATCGCTACGGGACTCGTACTGTTTATCTTGGAAGCCACAGAATTGGGGATATTGCAAATTTCAGCTGTGGCTTGCGTGTCGAAGTGGGTTTCAATCATGGCATGAACAAGGGTGATTAGCTCACATTTCTCGCTTTCTCACACCGTGCCATACTCTACGGTGGGCGAGGAGAAAGGGAGGGGTGATCGGGGGCGATGGATGGATGGGGGTGCGGCTGCATTTAGGGGATGGCAGGGAGGAAGAAATAGAGAGAGAATGAATGATTGAGACACCTATTTCTGTTTTGTGTTGGTGAGACGGGGGTCACGGGTGATGAATTCCTAGGAGGCGGTACGTGGGTAAGTTTGCGGGTTTGAAATTGTAGATCTATTGACGACGGAAAACGAGCGAGATGAGTGAAAAAAGGAATACAGCAGGAAGTTTATCGTGAACTGGGATAGGCACAGTCGTCAAGACAAAGGAATGGATGTGCTAAAAAGTGCCGGGAAGTGCTAACTATGCTAAGAAGATAAGATGGAAACAAAAACACCGAAATTGCCGGTTAATCTACTCCCGATGAACATCTGCCGTACCGTTCCTACGGCACCCCATACTCCGGTACCGTGCTGGCAAGTATTGAGCTCTGCTTGGTAGAAATAGCGGGGAAAGGTTCCCTCTTTGGCCCTTGCGCGGCTGCTCCCACCAGCGGCGGCGGTGGGGCCAGGCTTCCCATATACTCAAGATACTTCCGATACCCCCAAACACTCTCCTCCTCCAGCAGTGCCGTATGGACCATCTCAAGCTCGGGCTTGATCTTTTGTAAGCACCTCAGATCCCCCAATGTCAACCTGTCGCAGCCCCTAACGTCGATCTTCTCAATCCTGTTCCCCGGCTTCGTGAGCAACTCGTACAACCAACCGATCCTAACATCTGGCAGCCAACAAATCTTTAGCACGCGCACGCTCGCCGGTAGGCGTTTCGATAGGAAGGAGCGTAGTCCGGGCTTGCTCAGCGAGAAGCAGTCCAGCAATGAAAGGTGCTCCAGCGCCTCGAACTGAGCGATGGCACGCAGCACAGGGTCCTCGACGTTCGAGAACTCGAGGTCCAGGCTTTTTAGCGTTTTCCGGGAGGTCTGCAGGAGTGCTTGAATGACGGATGTGCTTATCGAGATTTTGGATAGGTCCACGTGTTGCAGGTTTCGCGATTTGACGGACAGGAAGAATTGCTCGAGGGCTTTGGTCTGTGAGCGGATGTTTGGAATTGAAGTTAGGGTCAGGGAGCACAGGTTTGGGGATTGCGAAGCGCATTTTAGGAGGGTTAAGATGTGGTGCACGCCGATTGAAATGGGTGCGTCGATGGTGAGCGAGCGGCAGGTTGTCAAGCGCCTGTGGAGGGTTCGGGGCACGAGGAAGTGTGGGAGGGATGTGTTGCGGAGGTTGCTGAGGTCTAGCTCGTTCCAGAGGAGGGGGTCGTTGCCGATGTAATACCACTGGGAAAGAAGGTAATTCTGGGTTAATATTGGATCGTGTGATTTTTTTATAGCCTTTTCGGCGATTTCTATTTTATGGTAGTGCTTATGGGCGGGTTGGATTGTATGTGGGTGGTGGCTTTTTACTCACTTCACGACAGATTGATAGGCAGCTGGAGAGATCATTGTATGACAGGTAAGAAAATATATTGCTTATAATCTCTGTTGGGAGTTTGGAGAATGAATCCGCTCCTGAAACTATCGCTGGCTCCCCGGCTGGCATTGTTGGAGGAGTGGTGGTTGATGTGAGCGGACGGCCGAGGACCAAAAATTCCTTTGCCATGGTAGATAGTTCCCCAAGATCAAGAAGGTAACGATAATGATAAGGATTCGGTATATTCCGTGAGGCCTTTTCTTGGTGTTCGTGAGGTGAGGACTCCGCAGCGGTGGCAGTAACATGGGGGCAGTTCGGTCCATATTTAAGGCTGACGGCCTTGTATGATATAATTAAGTACAAGTAACTATGGGCGAATTTACTTGTCCATGTGTTGGGCGGGAGGGCGTCCGTGGTCAAACAGGCCGGAAAGACTAGAGGTGTGAGATTTCTTATTTGGGCCAACCTTCCGGCTCGATTAATGGTGGGAATAATGCTGAACCGAGGGAGATCCTGTGTGGTGGTGGGAATGGTGGTAGTTGGAAATGTGCACTGAGGGTTGCCAATGAAGCGAGGGAGAGTGAAGTGTTGACGGTTTAGCCTGTCACGGGCACCGGCAAGCGAGAAGCGCCCAGCCTTTTTGTCCTACGTTACCGGGGTGAGCGAATGCTGTAACGGGGATGGCGCGCCCGATAATTGGCCCTCTTTGGCGAACGATGGGAAGGAACCACAGACTCCACTGGACGGTCATTACTGTCACTGGGGCGAAATCGCCCCCCCCCCACCTATCACTTACAGTACTACCTCTCAGTAATATTAATCTTCTTTCTTTCTGGAAGATTGTCCATATTGACTGTTTACTTTGTAGTAATCATGAGCAAACCTCGCCAAATTGTTCAGCTTTCGTCCAAAAACTATGCAAAGGGAGGGGATCTGGGTGCTTGCCTCGTCTCTTAAAACCTCATTAAGCATTCCATTGTATGCTAATATCTTTACCACAGCTACACTCTACACCCACACACACATGCCGATTCGCTTGGTCCTCCCCTCATAAGGCTTCGATTACCACCCCCATTGAACACCAAAGAGCCCTTTCTTTTTCTCACTTTCGCCGATATCCCTATCCCTTTGGTTTTCTAAGTATACCCGAGGTTTGCCTACCAGTCGTTAGCGAGATTTGTGTTGTTACACGTTTTGCCTCTTCGTATCCTCGGGTTATTTTCGTACCGGGAACATCGAGGAACAGATACTTGTACTCGTATTTCGATTCCCCAGGTCTCTTTGTCAGGTGAGCATTGACAACTCCCTTGCCGACGGTGCCCTCAACCTGCGACTCGTACGTGAGTGATATGTTTGATCCCCGATTAGACAATAACATACGTTAAAGTGCATGATTAAATGTTCTGTGCCATGCTTGTCTTTACGAGTTCTCGAACTGCCCAATGGATCCGTTAGCACTTGATTCAATATGTGCACCATACGTCCCTCACCCTCTCACCCCCTCGGAAGACAGAAAAAAGACGGAGGAACATACGCAATTGGCCTGTTCCGGGACCAACGGTTTGATGTGGGTTCCCCGTACGCCTTAATCCTATCCCCCAGTAGCTTGGTACAGCGTGAATCTGCCTTGATTCTGTTGTGGACATTGTTGAACCAATTTGGAACAGAATTAGGTGCAAAGACTTCGGTATAGAGTATCGCCAGGATGGCTCCCTGCGTATTCGGATCAGTATTCAAAAGCTAGATCATAATCTATCCCGGCACTTAGTTTCTTTGCTCACAGTTAAGACCGCCCCAACGACAATTGTTGCGAAGTTTGCCCCCGTGCTTGCTGTTCGTGCAATTTTTTGGCCCTTCGAAAGCTTCTCCCATTTCTTGCTCGATGCACTATTAGGAGTTATCGCTATTTTGTGCTTTTGTAAATCTGCTCCTATGCCACTGAATGGCCGACGATTAACGTGGTTTGGCGAGCCTGAAGCGCGGATTGCTCGTATACATGAGCGCAAAGTGATTAGGCGAGCTGGAGTTGGTAACTGGACCGACATTACAGGAGATATTGTGACGATGTGATGATGGCTAGCAGGATAGCGGGGAGCGTTGACGAGCGGTATCGTGGGTGGGTCATGGAGGTGGGGGGGGTTTTCCTTTCCGGAGGATCTCTTAGAAAAGGAAGCTTAGCACCGAACTCAGGCCCGGGTTCCAAAATAGCCGCTCTCTTTAACCCCTCTCGGAGCTGCTATTTCCTCGCGGAGGAGATGGGTGCTCGGGCTGAGTCATCATTGAGGGATGGGAGAGGCCAGATCTAGGCGATCACCACAACAATCCTTTCTTTCTTCCTATCTCCCCTCACCCGCATTTTTGTCTCCCCCTTTATCTCTTTTGTCCTGGTTCGATTATACTCCGGCATCTACTTCTACAATCACCATGAGTTTGGCGTCTAAAACCGAGGGCCAAAAAATATTTGAGAAGCTCAAATCAAACCGTGCTAATAAGGTAGGAATTCCCGGCTGAGACAAAAATGGAGTTCTGTTACCTTGCACAAAGCGCGATATCCACTGATAGTAATGATAATGTATAGGTATGCTTCGATTGTGGCTCCAAGAATCCAACTTGGTCTTCCGTTCCATTCGGGATCTACCTCTGTCTCGACTGTAGCGCTCACCACCGTAACCTTGGTGTGCATATATCTTTTGTCCGTTCTACGGTTCTTGATCGTGCGTTTACAGATGCTCAATAGGATTCGGGTTATGTGGATCACGTGCTGATTGGAATGTAGAATGGCAATGGGATCAACTGAGGCTCATGAAAGTCGGTGGTAACGAATCTGCGACCAAGTATTTCCAGAGCCATGGCGGGTCTGCAGCGCTGGCATCCAAGGATCCTAAAGCTAAATACGAGTCCAGTACAGCCGCCAAGTACAAAGAAGAGCTTAAAAAACGTGCGGCTGCAGATGCACAACTGTGAGTGCCCTTCCCACAGGCCCTTATTGCCTGTTCGTAGGCTCATGTGCGCAACAGATATCCCGGAGAAGTAGTTGTTGAGGGTGGCGAAGAAGCTGCTGCTGCCCCTGTTGAGGCTGAGGAAGATTTCTTTTCTTCCTGGGATAAGCCTTCCATCAAACGTCCAACACCCCCACCGTCTCGAACTGCTACCCCACCGGTGATCGGCAGGACTGGAACTCCTTCAAATGGCAGCGGTATTTCACGAGCAAAGTCCCCCCTCGCTTCTCCTCCTCCTGAAGCTGCGCCGGCTGCTTCTCGTACCACGACCTCCTCTGCCCTGCGAACAAAGGCCGGTGCAGCGTCGGTGAGTGGGGCACGAAGGGCTGGGGTATTAGGGGCTAAGAAAGGGCAAAAGCTTGGGGCTAAGAAGGCTACCGGTGGGGATGTAATTGATTTTGACGAGGCTGAGAAAAAGGCAAAGGAAGAGGCGGAACGAGTTGCAAAGTTAGGTTATGATCCGGAAATGGAACAGCCAAGCAAGAAAGAGACAACGGGAAAGATCGTGAGCCCTACCCCAACATCGCCTGTGCATGCTAGGAAGAGTAGCGATGCGGAGCGATTGGGGTTGTCAATGAATAGGCTAGGATTTGGACAAGTTGCAGGCGCGGCGGCTGCAAGTGGCCCTGCAAAGAAAATGGGTGGATTCGGTTCTGTTGGATCGAGTTCTAGGGTTGAAGGTATGGAATACACCAGTCACTCATTAGGAATGGCCTGCGCTAATATTTGTAATATTTGTATAGAGGATGATCAGAAGTATGCAAGGGAAAAGTTTGGAACCCAAAAGGCTATATCCTCCGACGAATTCTTTGGCCGTAATACCTACGATCCCCAGGCCGTTAGTGAAGCTCGTACCCGTCTTCAAGGGTTTGAGGGTGCAACTGCCATCTCCAGTAATCAATACTTTGGTAGAGATGAGGAAGAACACGATGCCGATACTGCAGGGTATAGCGAGATCGAAATCACTGCAAGGGATTTTGCCAGGAGGTTCACCGGAACTGCTGGAGAGGATCTGGAGAATGCTGCGCAAGCTTTGGGCCAAGCAGCCGCAAAAGCCTCTGAGATTGTTGGACGATATATGCGATAAAGGTCGAATAGTGCTGGTGAATGTTTGGTTGGCTGGACGCTGAATGAAGCGGGGTCAACGCGCTATGAACGGTTGGGTTATGGTAGGTGGGTTTAATCTTTCTACAGTCTAAGTTGCTCAGCGTTTCGGGTGATGCTTGATGTTTCCATGGGTCATGCCTTTCATGTAGCTGTACTGCCCGTAGCGGTTTTCTTCTTCTCCCATTAGCTTTTCTCATGTTGCAGGGCGGTAGACGGTTGGTATGGGTTGTGGTGGTTTGGGAGAAATAAAAATTGTATTTCATTTCAGTGCGGTGACCATGTTAGAGTAGACCGGTTAGCGGGTGTTTGTGAATTTGGAATTCGGTCAATTCCTCTTGATGAAACACTTTTTCTGTGTGCTGGGAATCGGGAAAGCTAGTATAGAGTTATGTTCGTGATCGGATTGATAAATAGTGATGCGCAATGAGTAGATGAGGTCGATTGCTCGCTATTCTTGGGTCTATAATAACCGTTCTACGTATGCAGACTATAAAGCACCGGATTCGGGCACACGTGCGGTTCAGGAGCCAGACGCCGGACATCCACCTCCAAGCATCAGTAGACTTAATAGCCCATGCCTCCACAAATCACCAGAACTCACCCCACCGCACACATGATACAGCACAGTATACCTACATACCTACCCTGGGTAAACAGACGACAATCCACATCCCCCCCCTTCTCTCCAACTATCCAACCTATCATCATCATACCATCGGTACACGACAAACCCACGACCTGTGTAACAACCGGCACCTTGCAAACCCTCCCTTTCCTCCTCCTCCTCATCCTCGTCCTATATAGCTATCATACCTAACCCACAAATTAGCACATGCCCACAGAAACGGTGGAAACCAAAAAAGGCGGAGTAAAAAAAAACGAGACGCGTAAGCAAAGTCAGATCAAGTGTAGATAGAATATATCCGCATTTCGCCCATCTATTTTTACCACCGGAAGCCGAACGAAACGCATCCGCCGAAACGGAGGTTACGAACGGGTCACGTGCAGTAAAATTTAGGGCGAGGTTGGAATTGCAGAACTCTTGTTTGCTCATCATGGTGGAGGGGGGGTTGGAAAGTGGGAGGGTAGGGGGAGCACTTACGGAGGTTTGGTGTCGTGGTGGAAGGAAAGGTGGAAGGAGGGAAGGAGGGGGGAGATGGGAGGATATGGTTGGGAAACCCTGGCAATTGCTTGGTCAATCGATCGACCAAGGCTGCCCAGTCAGGGTTGAGAATCGTGCGGCTCAAGGTGGAACAGGAAATTTTGAAAAAAATGGAGTGACAAGAAATGTGGAAGCAAGTGAGAATTGGTTGGCAGATCGCTCCTCCCTCCCGCGCTACCGTACTTGCACGGTGACGACTATTTGACAGCTCACCTCCGCTAATAACCATACGGTACTCCCCTCACCACCAAACAAAAAACGGTTCTTCGAAAGCAAGAGGAAAAAAAAACAAAAATAATAATAGTAATCTACAAGTACAGTGCATATGGCGCGATGAACGGCTCACATACACCGCCGAGGACTCCACTGGAAGACGTAAGTTTGCCTTCCCTTTTGTTTGGTTGGTTTTGGTTGGCGATTCTGGTAGGCCTGTTAAAAACCAAAAATAAAATAAAAATAGGACACCTACGACTCCATCCTCCACCTCCTCGAAACATTGACTGCCGGTCACTCGAGCACTCGCCTGCAAATAACCTCCTACGAGACGCGGATCGGGGACCTGGAGAACCTAAACTCCGAACTGCTGAAGCAGAGTGAGGAACTCCGCTCCCAACTGCTTCTGCGAAAGCCCGTGCCTGGATCCGCACCCGCACCCACCTCTTCACCGTCTCCCCCGTCATCGCTGTCGCCGGCAGAGCCGATCGTGGTTATATCCGATCTGGAGAAGGCGCAGTACCTCCAGGACGCGCTGATTTCCGAGCGGGAAGCGTTCGCAACAAGGGAGGAGAGCTTGACGGCTAGGATTTGGGGGCTAGAAACGGCGGTTACGGATTCTCTGAGGGATTTGCTAAGGGAGAGGAGGGCTAGGGAGGAGATTGAATGGAAGAGCCGGACCAGGCCGAATTCGGTTGTGTTGACGGGGATTGGGGGCGGTAGTCCTGCTCGCGAGGGTGGGCTGGCGAGGGTTAAGGGAGAGTTGCTGAGGATGGGTGGGGAGTTGAAAGTATGTTTTCTTCCTCCCCCTTTTATTATCCACCTGTTTGTGGGGCTCTTCTAGGGGGATTTGTTAGGGAACTTACTCAGATTGATTTTGTAGGCTGCGAATGAAGAGATCGAGAGGTTGAGGGAGGAGATTGAGAGGTTACCCCCTCAGTTGGTATCCCTCTGCCCATATCATTACCCGTAAAAAATGCTAATGGCGGCGGACTGTAGAGGCACTAGTAGCACAGCGGATGACACAGAGGCGGAAGTGAACATGCTCAAGGACGGGTTGAAAAGGATTGAGAGATTGGCGCTTGCATATGCTCCCTTAAAGGATGAGATGGGGCTGCTGGATGCGATAGAGGTATGGAAGAAGGAGTTTGTAGATGTGTGTAAGGAGAGAAGGAGGAGGAAAAAGAGGGAAGAGAAGCGTGGGACGGGTTAGGGGTGACATGGGAGATTAGCGGTGTCTTGGTTCCGATATCCAGGGATTTTCTGTGTACAATTTTGGTATTTCGGTTTTTCGGTTTTGTTTCGCTTTCTTTTTCTTTTATCTCACTCGTATTCCATTACTTTATTTTGCATCCAGGGATTTTTCACTGTACGAGTACCCAAGTACATCGTGATGCACTAGTTATGAGTGCCACTTGAGCATAGAAAAAAGAAAGAGTTTATGAGAATAATTCTACCTCCGCTCACTACTTGACAATTGGTTATCAAGGTATCACCAGCTCCCCACCGAAAGCAATCCATCTGAAAATGAATCTCTAAGATGGATGAATGTATGCAGCCATGGTTTTGCCCAAACGTCAAAGAACGACGTTCTATGCAACGCGATGGAATATGGCGCCCAACGCTCTCCCTCCCTCCTCACCGAGCTCAGTCCGAAAACGAGCTCAAGATGGGGAAACATGAGCGAGAAGTCATCAATCTCAGATCTGTCGACGCGGATTTACGCCAGGGTGTTGTTTACAACAAAACGCTTCCATAATCGTCGAACTGCCAACAGTACAACTGGACCACATCGAGCACGAGGATCAATGGGCAGGACCGGAGGCACAAATCCGTCTGTTGAGAGAAGGGGAAAGAAAAAGGAGAGTAGAAGAAGGGGGGGGTTGCCTTTATAGATATATTTTTCGGTGCCAAGATTTTTGAGTGGGTAGGGTAAGGTTCAATCTTTGCTGGTATGATATTATGATTGACTATCATGCCCGTGGATTTCACCGAGGGTTTGGTCTGGGCCCCACCAAACGTGTTATGACACTCTCCCCCACCAACCCACCAACCAACCAACCAACCATTGCGTGCGAGTGCAAGCTTTAGAATGAGCCACAGGCCGCCAATGCCCTTCCTCTCTCTCTTTCTCCTCCCCCAATTACTCAAAGGCTTCGCCCGCAAATTCCACTCCACCCCCCTCGCCGCAGCAAAGCCCTCCCGCCGCCGTCTCGAGCACATCCTCCGCAATGTGCCGAAATACCCTTACCCGATAAAGCACACCTTCAAGCAGAGCTGGTTCGGCCTGTACGGTGGGAAGCACATACAATTCGGCAACAACGTTCCGGAGAACTTCCTCCGCTATAAGACGCGCAGACAATGGTTGCCAAACGTCAGGCATAGAAGTGTGTATTCCAGGGCGCTGGGGATGCATTTTAGTTTGGATATTACTACCAGCGTTTTACGTACTGCCCAGCTTCTCCCCTTACTGATAGAAGCGGAGAAGATGGCTGATTTTGGAGAGGGAGTGGGTGAACAGGGACAATCGATAAAGTCGGTGGTTTAGACGCATACCTCACCGGCACGAAACCAGCTAGGTTAAAAGAGCTTGGACCAACGGGCTGGCGCCTCCGCTGGCGCGTACTGAATTCTCCGAATTATAAGAGGCAATTGCAAGCTGAGCGGAAGGCTCTCGGACTGGCGGATGGACAGGAGCCTGTGTTCCCTGCCGCGGCTTCGGCTGCTGGAGCGAGTGATAAATTGGGGGGGTCATTGGAGGACGCTTTCGGCGGAGGGGAAGAAGGGGTGAAAGGTGAGGGGGAGGAGGAGGAGGAGGTAGCTGTCGCTGCACCGAAAAAGGCAAAACCAATCTCCGCTGGGAAGGAACTTATGGCGGAGTTGGAGAGGGCCAGGGCGCAGAGGGGTGACAGGAGCGGGGGGAAGAAGGCGTAGTTGGCTGCTATGGGGGGGGTTATGGGCGGGGTACGGCATGGATCTATAGGGCTGGTCTAAGGGAGGGAAGGGCGAATTCTGGAGTAATTGATCCCCCGCGTATATTGGCTAGACTGATGATAGAGGTATTTGAAATAAATATTTTTTGAGCAATATTTCACGATGGGGGTCTGAGGGCGGTGCCTTCGATGCAAAGATGACCATGTCCTCCTCGGGTTACAAGCACACCGCAACCTGGCAGAGGGTTACCGCTCATGGCCTGGCGCATACCTGTCGTTCACAGCTTGGCGGATGGCCACCAAGTCACCGGTCATCTGATTGTGCATTCGACCAACACTGCTAACTATAAGCTCGACGAGAGAGATTTCACTCACAGACTTGCTGGTAATTCGCTGCGATCCTTGGCCCGGGTAATGGCCAGATATGCTGGCTGTCTTGTGGGATGTGTGTATGTGTATCGGTATGGGCAGACTAACTCCTGACTCTCCACGACTCGAGCACCATAAGTGATAGAACCCCACAATAGGTACTCCACTGAGGTTCAAAGAGGGAGCTATGACTCCTCTCATGGAATTTCCTCTTAACCAATTGTGATTATCATACCTTCGGGAATCTGTTTGCCGGTAATGGGGGGGTTTACCATATCGGTATCATTTATAGGATACGTTAGTATCACCGACGTCGTAAATACTCTATATAGCTGCTCAGTTTGAAGGTAGACTATAGACCCCGGTTCCCGGGTCTGTTTCGATTGGAATGGACTGTAGCGGGGTATGATATACAGTAAATTATTTGAAATTCTATGACAGCAAGGTAATGGTCATCACCCCGTCAACCATGGAGAAGTGAAAGGTGGCACAACAGCACTCGTAAAAGCTTCACTTGATCCAGTAGGATGCTCTCGAGATAGAAATGGAAATGAGAACATGGTAAGGGGCGGGGGGGAAAGAAAGATGAGGACAGATGGGAAATAGGCGGAGCGGCTGCTGTTGTTGTTGCGGCGGTATGATAATATTATGTCCCTAGAGTAAGGCTATGATACTCTCGTGGCAAACGGTAAGCTTATGCGAGCGATGGCTTTTGGTATGGGTATCATAATGGAGGGGAGGCGTTCCTTGTTGATTGCTATCGTATGATAGAGGGGTCTTTATATATACAAGCTAGAGTCATTGGCCACATCACTAAAGCCATCCAATCAGCCGTAATCAGCCGTAATCCAACCTCCAGCCATCTACAGGTCGGACAGTACCGTATGATACCGTTGGTGAAGACTCCACGGACAGGAAGTGTACTCGAGTCCTGTACTGTACTCTTAAGACCCAGACAACAAAAGAAGCATACCCCCCCCCCCTAGGTTTCCAGTACTGTACTGTAAAGAGTTGTGATTTTTCAATTTGGTCACTAGAAGCAACCACCGCAAACCCTGTCTTCCTCCTCCTCCCCTTCCTCCAAACTCCGATGACATGATCATAGACATCCATAAGGAGTTTAGCGCTGTAAAATTTCGGGTGGTTTTTTTTTTTTTGGTATTAACGGTCACGTATGGCGATATAGAGAGAAGCGTGAGACCGGACCAGTTTCTTCCTGACCTGAGCCCGTATGGTGATTACCCGTAATGATCCTGACAAGCCGAAAATCATGAGTATATATATATATATATAATAATATTATTATAATATTATTATATAATAGGTTGCCATTTTGCGCCAGAATTGCGCGACTTGAAGCGCCACTATCAACTCACCCTAAAGTGAAGAAAAGAGAAGGGAAACAAAAAAGACGGAATTGATCAAAGCGGAATCGTGCGCTTTGTAATTTCTCAACCCATTTCGCTAAAAAGGAAGAAAGAAGAAAAAAAGAAATTTTGTGTGATTTTTGTTACCCTTTGTGCGAGCACTGTACTGACGGCCAAAGATTTATTCATGAGGTATCGCAATGTATGATACACTTTTTTTTTGTGGAAAGGCTGGTATGATACAGTACCTTTTTCCCATCCCCTGGCTTCCAAAGTCTACCAATAGAGTATTATTTATTTTCATTTTTTCATTTCCAAACAAATTCCATATAATCCTGTGGAACCCAATCCGATTTTACATTTTCTTCTTATTTTTTTTTCCTACCATACCAAGATGATCGACACTTCCGTACAATATTATAAGGTTTGCACATTTTTGGTGTACAGTACCGTAAGATGCCAACCAACCTACGGTAATTTACTCGTAACTTTCGGTTCCAGGCCCGTGCGATACAAGCCGACTACCCTGACGAGTATTTTGATGTGACATGATGCGGTGCGATTGTACTCGTATAGGTAGTCACTATCATAATTATCATATCGGACCCGCTAGCTGAGTCGTTCAACCATGTTTCACCATCACCGACGGTTTGCACGAGCGGTCGGGCACCCCCGGCAAAACAGTCTCTTTATGGTGTCGTTCACAACTCACTCTCAGGATCCTGCGGTGATCTTTTTCGCTTATCTTCAGCCCTATGCTCCTTATGATACTGCACTGTACTTGTACGAGTGAAATCACTAAAAGTGCGTGAAGCTCGGGAACAGACGAAGGGATGCCGCCGGACACGACCCCCTCGAACAGACAGACAGCGGCGGTAATCAAGTTTAACCAAATGAGTGGGTAATTTAGCGCAATGTAATTCCAACAGCTGGCTGGATGGCGCAACGGTAGCGCGTCTGACTCCAGATCAGAAGGTTGCGTGTTCAAATCACGTTCCGGTCATGATGTTTTGAAGTTTTGACCTTCTTTGCTAAGGTGCTGTGCTGTGCGAGTACTAGTACGGTGCTCGAGTATGATACCTGCGTGGATTGTCGGAAAGTGGGTTTCTTTCCTTTTTGGCATGAAGACTTTGGTGGATGTATGTATGTGCGATATGATGCAATAAGACCTAGGAAATAGTAGACCATGACTAAAGAAAAAGGAAAGAAAAAAGGGTTTTGCGGGATAACTGGTACGGGTGCGGTATAGTACTTGTACCTCCTATTTTCTTGCTCTGTGCTACTGTATTGATATTTAGACTATCAGTCACTCGGTATCACTTCCACCGTCTGCCATCCGAGACTGGAAACAAAACAAAAACAAAACAAAAACAACCTTCGCCATATAATACAGGTACCGTAAAAAGTACCGTACGCTATCATAGACACGGTATAATACTGTACCATATTCAATTTTCTGGAATCTAATCTAGTGGTATTCTTAGTCTCCACTTTTTCTCCAACTAACCCAATGAAGCGACATGCTTGACAAGAAAGAAGAAACGAGAGGGAAGGAAACACTTCAAGTAACTGAAAAAAAAGAAGAAAAGAAAAAAAAAAACACCCACCAACCCAGCCAAACACCGAATGTATATAATGAGAGCGGTCAAGTCAAGTTACTTGATAAGGCAGTTAGTTCGTAGGTTGGTTGGTTGGGATGTAATGTGTGCTGTGCTACAAACTAACTGACTAACTATGGGAAGAAGAGTGTGATGTGTGATATGATATAAAAGGAGTAGGAAAAATGAAGAAATGAATGACCGCCATGAGAGAGCAAGACATCTACAAGACTACCAAGGGGTCCACATCCACCTCGTCCATTTGAGGTTCTGGTTGTGGTGCTGGAGGAGGCACTTGCCCCGCTCCCGCTCCCGCTCCTCCTTCACCTTCATCGTTCACTTCCATGTCACCACTCCCAGCAGCACCAGCTTGCTGATGTTGCTGATGTTGGAGTAATTGCTGTCGCTGCGTTTCGTCCCGTTGCCGTTGTTCCACGGCGTCAACGTGCCGTTCGTGGAGTCCCGGGATAAGACTTGCTAGGAAGATCATTATGCATCGTTCTATGCCGCGGAAGATGTCCCTGAAGCGATTCTGTTGGCGGTCAATTAGCATTTGCGCGGTTCGGGCCGGGTCGAGTTGGTTCGCGTTTGCGTCCGCGGCGTGTTCTAGAGGAGGATTGCCATGGTTCGGGTTGCCGGCGGCGGCTTGCGGTTGGGGCTGGTCGGGGACCTGCTGGGTGGGGCCTGGAGCAGGGGGTTGCGCCGGCGGTGGAGGTGGATTGATGGTGTCGATTATTGGGCGGAGAAAGGGTTCAAGGACACCAGTTTGCCAGACTGTTTGGGGGAGTTAGTAGGTTGTGTGGAATTGATATGGGAATGCATTGCTTACCGAATATTGCCACAGCAACCGAGCCAAGGTAGAGCATTCTCCTCCAGCCTCCACTTCCGGTGAACAGAATCACAAAGACGGCTAGTCTTACGGCTAGCCAGAAATTCGATGCATGGGCTCGAACTCCATGTATCAAATCAGGAAGATTGAGCCGGCCAATCCGCCTGGGTCTCTCCAGCGCCGCGCCGTGGAAGCCGACTCGATGGTGAGCATGGGCACCCCCGAAATGGTCTCCAAGACCCAATCCAGCGCCGAGAAGATTGTTTCCGGCAATACCCCCCACAGCGCCAAGGTTAGCAAGATCTGGAAGGGGGGGCAACCCGAGTTCGCGCAGATCAGGAAGACCAGCGCCCGGCGGCCCCAAAGGTCCTCTTAGATCATTTATTACCTCGGCCAGTGTGGGATTTGTGCCTCTCGGGGGTCCTAACAGAAGTGCCCTAGGTCTACCGCTCACATCTTGCAGAAGATATACTGGACTGGTCCTGGTAATAGGATGTGGGTTATTGGCTGGTAGGTGGAACACCGGTAGCTGCTCAGGCGGTGGAGAGAGATGCGTAAACGGAGGTGTAGTAGTATCATCATGAAGCGAAGGCCTCTCGCGCGGCCGCTCGTAAGGCTGTCTCTGCTCGACTCTCGCTTGACTTGGCGCCACTGGTTCGCTCCGCGATGTCGCATATCCCCGCGAAGGCCCATAAAGAGAGCCTGAATAAAAGTCGCCGTTGTCAGTATTTGCCGCCGAGAGTGTTCTGGTTGGGGTCATGGAGGCACTAGTTTCCGATCCCGGCGCTAGATCATAGTTGCTTGCTCCAGGAGCCGATGCTCCACTACTGCTCGCTTGATCAGGCCCTAGTCTCGAATTTAGATGTTCTCGTCTTTGCCGAAGCTGCTGCTGCAACCCTTCCGGTCTTTGCAGCCCTGACCGAGCGAGCCCCCCGGGCCCCGAATGGGCAGTGCCTTCCTCGGGAATCTGTTCGCTGAATATGGGGGTTATGGGCCCAGGCCTCGTATGGAAAGTGGAGGCATTGGGAAGCGTGTCTTGTACTATGGGCGTGGTCGCAGGCGCAGGGGCTGGCACGGGGCTAGGTGGAGGCGGAAGCATCAAGTGAAAGGTAAATGCTTCCCTCAGATCCTATGTAAATACGGTCAGCGAAGGGGGTAGGATAGAGGGCGATGTGAGGGATATAATGAACTAACGCTTCCGACCTGTCCAGAGTCAAGCCCGAGGACTGTTTCCAGTCTGCTCTCGTCTTGCATCATCTTCCCCCGATAGATTAGGCGCTGTTGGTCACACGGTGGTCTTGAATCTAGAGAACCAGCAATCTGGTCCTTGACATCTTTAATGGTGGATGTCGCTAACATCCGGAAGGTGAGGTCTCGTGGAAAGCCGGAGACCGGCGACATGACTTTGATAAGAAGCACGTCTACCGGTACTTCAGGGGGATTGAACCCCTCGGCGGTGGAAGAACTCATCTTGATTCTCGAGTGGCGTCTGCAAGGGGTAACGAGCAGTGGAGTGGGAGGGGTGGGGTGGGGCGGTGGGCGGGAAGTGAAAAGCGTCGAAGAATGCAGGGAAGGGAAGGGAGAGGGAGGGAGGAAGGTGATGGACGAACGAGAGGCGTGGGGAGGGGGAAACTAGGAAGGAATGAAGTGGATGGCAGAGGAGAGTACCGTAGGTGACAAGCTGGTATTGGGGTGCCAGTGCGCAGAACGGGTTGTTCAGGGTTAATCGTGCAAAATCTCCCAACTTGCCGCCATCTGGCCTTTCCTAGCTGTAGCTATCATACAGGCTGAGGAACGGTACGGGTAATACGTGAGGTGCCGGTAGCTTCCAGTCCCAAGCGAAACGGCCGTGTGACGCGCCAAGATGTCACACAACTTGCATCACCCCATCTTCACCCTCACCCTCACCCCCATCTCCCTAAGTTTACTGAAGTCATTCGTGATGGCACCACTAGAGTGACCAAGTTACATCATCCCACCGAAACAAGAGCACCATTCCTCTTGCTTTGTTTTGTCCGTAAGTATAGACAGCTAACTTACCCAAGTTTCCGCAATTGACCGACTGCCGACAACAACCACCTCCCCTCCACCGCCGATAAAATGCGAGCACAAGTCTGCCAAAAATGCTTAGCATCCTCGAAGTTCCTCCTCCGCCGTAACACTGCCACCACCGTATCCCCACTCATACGTCAGGCGTTTCCGGCGGCTGCAGCAAGAAGGACCTTCCTCACAAGCTTCCGCAAGACGACCACGGAGAAGGATGGACAACTCCGCCCTCCACCCCCAGCGGAATCGGTTTCCCCGAGCGAATATCCGCTGTACGGACACTCGGGGGGGACGAGGGTTTTGCTAAAACCAAACAATTTGTTTCACCCCATGGACAAATCGCCCTCCCCCTCCATGCGTGAACGAGCGGCCAAGATCAAGCGGACCGCGTACTGTCCGCATCCGCGCCACAGGGCTGCGGATTCCCCAACACACATCAAGTTTACTTGCCCAGATTGCGGAATCCCTACATATTGTTCAGAGGAGCACTGGGCCGAGGATTACCAGAACCATATACTTATTTGCGATGCCCTGAAGGAAGCGAATGAGGATGATCATGATCTGAGGAGTGGGAGGTTCTTTCCCGAGTTTGAATATCCCGGGGAACAAATGGACGAAGCTTTGATTAATTTTACGAATTGGGATACATTGTTGTACACGAGGGACTTCAGGGCTATCAATGACGAAAGATCCTTGAGACAGGTCACAAAGTTGTTGACATATCCGATCACTGTCGCAAGCTTCGCACATGAGCTGAGCCCCTATGATATAAGGCATAGATTGACCGTGGAGGGATTGAAGAGTGTTAGCGGTGTGCCTTTCTTGCTCAACTTGACGCATAGTTATGTCTGACGTTGTATCCACTGCAGCGCTGCGTTACACTCTACACCCACCCCGTACGGGTGCCGGAAAGGGCATTAGAGGAATCAGAGTCACACCACCTCCGGTCCGCCTATTCATTCTTGGTGCGCGTTCGGAGTCTTCTCTCCCCCGAGAAGTTTGGCATCAACTCACCCATATGTTCCCGCTCTCCACTTTCCACCTGGTCTTCATTGGGCCGCAATCTATGATGAACCGGGACGCCGAACTCCCACTTCCTGACCGAACTCCGGCAAATCCGTTTGGTGCAGTGGTGGAACGAGTATCCCACAACATGAAGATCTCGACCTTCGTGGAGTATTACCATACCCTCCATGACACTGGTACATTCAAGCCGTATGATCCATACTTTGACATGTTTGTCTTATTCCATCCGGGCTTGGGTCATCCGGGGAGTGCGGCAGAATGGGAGAGCACCCTTCCACGATTGCTCGACACAAAATGTGCTATTCTGTGCACAGGATACACGGAAGAGGACATGAGCCGTGATGTCGACTGGGTCCATGATAAGTGCAAGGGGGAATTTGATGTGTTGTTGGAGCCCGGAGTGAATAGATTCCGTAGCCTGAGATGGGATATTGACGAGTAAGTCTTATGGCACCCTTCTTGAGAGCAAGGGCTGACTGATGGATAATCAATAGTGGGGACCCTTCAGACCTGAGCCAGGGAAATTGGGGAGTATGGTCGTTCAGGGGCAAGAGATATGAGGCCACTAAACAAGATCTCGAGACTAGATAGTCTGTGGACGTGTGCTTACGGGCTGTAAATAACGAGAGTTAGGCCGGAAATGGCATCTAGATGGGGGGGGGCAGCTTTACAGTGTGAACGGAATTCTGTAATTATCACTTATTTCGTACTAAACAACGCTGTCCGAAGGCTCCAGGGCGACTGATGTGTTTGGCTTTGTTGCGGCAACAAGCAGCCGGGTGCTGTCGAGGTCGCAACATATCAGCAATTCGTGCTGGTTACACTATTACCAATGACAGCTCGCAAAATTCCTCCTGTGAAACCCCTTGGCAAATTCAGGGACGGGAGATCAGGTGGCAGCAGGGCCAACTGTATGCAGTATTTTTAAGCACGAAATATCACTCGATACCATTCTGTTTTTCCCTTGGCCGATCCCTGTGGTTGCAGAAACCCCACACTTGGCCAGAGCTATGCCGCCGACTGCGGGGGTGTAGCGGGGAAATACCGGTATGCTCGTATTGTTAGTACATGGCCGGGTCAAGGGGATGTTAGGCATACTCCCCGACATTTGGAGATCAAAGGAATGCCCTGCTAGGCGGGTATTTTCGCTAACTGTGATAAGAAATACCGGGAGGGTCGAGCGCAACTGATGCAGGCCTGGTGACGCAGAGATGTAACGAATGCCTATCCAACTCCGACAAATAGTTTGAAAAGTGACTAGCTGTGATCGGGTCTGCTCGTGTCTGAGTAGCTAGTGCAAAACTGAACTTTTGGCCCCAACCGCTGGCGGCAGTGCAGTTCTGGTCGTGCGTTATTGATTGAGAAACATCCGATAACAGCCGAACGGCGCGGTGCCAGGCCGTCCCCCTATCAGACTTGGGCCTCTTGGTTGCGATTGGAGGACAATGACCCTGCAATCGGCATACCCAGGTGGGCAGGACACCCCGCACCACCTAATAACTAACAAGCGAGAGCACCCGTACGCCTACCCGGGCATTTACTTCTCCCGCCACCCCTGCGCCCAACAAATACATGTCGCGAGAGAAAACAAACAAACCCAAAACCCCAGAACTCACGGCGACGCCTAGATGTCTAGACGGTATACGGGAGCTTGATCTCGGCGTCGGCCAAGAGATAGGCCAAGAGCTGAAGGGGTGCTGCCCGGATTTCGGATTTTGATTTCGGGTTGTTCGCACGCATTTTGAGAGCCCAAAGGTTATTTCAGCCTGCACCCGCACGGGTATCTCCAAATTTTATTCATAAGAGTAGAAACTTAGGGAGAAGGTTAGCACGGTATTTCGCAATACCCACACACATCAGCCACTTTCCGGGTTCCAACGGCCATACAAAATTGGGCCCGAGGGAGAAAAAGGGCAACCAAGAGCTGAAACCTTGCATAGTTATCCCGTCTTGCGCGTTCGGATGCCTTAGCTCTACGGTATTTCCTATAGTGTATCACAAAAAGATCACCTTGGGACGGGAACCTGGGAGTACAGTACCAAGTGGTACGGCATAATGTGAGTACGGGCCCAACCAAGCAGAGCCCCCGGCTTGAGGATTTGGGGCAGTGCCGCCGAGGAATGGGAGGCCGCCAGAACTCCACTGTACGAATACCGAGTATGAAGCTATGATGCCAGGGCGACTGATGACGACTGGATCGTTAAAGTGCGTCGGTACTCCGTTGAAAGGAAGAAGAGGAAAATAAAAATAAAAATAAGAGGGTGGACTGGATGCCCGGGCCCAAAGGGCCGTTGGTCGGAAGTGAACCAAATCGTGTGCCGACTCCCGAGGCCAGGGTGAAGCTCCCAGGGTCCTAGATCGATAGGATGAAGTCCCGGATTGAACCCTCATCCACGCGCCGCCCTTCCTGTACCGGTATCATACTCGAGTATGTACTCAGTGTCTACTCGTACGGTGCCTTTGATTGCGAGGGTTTACTCGTAGGCATGGAGATGGTGCTCGCGATCGAGAAGGCTGATATCATGTTTCGTGTGGTGCACCGGTGGCGACTTATGAATTGCTCCTCGGGTGTAATGGTTGAGTAAGGTTTGCTAAGAACAGCAGTAAGATAGTGGTCAGCAAGGAATTTTGGATGCCGCGAGATCGGATTTATGCAAACCTATCAAATCCGGCATATGATACTGAGGTAAGCGGCGGTCCGTTCTTGCACTGTGCCGGTGCTGTGCCCCTACAAGTACTGTGTACTCGAGTATGATACCACACAACTCAACTGAGGGCACATACCTAAAATAAAACACATAGTACATAATTGGAGAAACATACCACGAGGCATACGAAGTACCTCCTGGAACTGCTGCTCTTTCATATTTGCTGAGAGAAGCTCCTCAACATATACTTCACCAGAGAGAGCTGAAGTATGAATTCTTTCGACATCAAAACGATGGTCAATATATTTGCCAATATTGCTCAAAGCATGGAGTAAAAAGCGGCCATCAATTCTGAATGTGGTATGACTTTCTGAAACCGCAGAGTCCGAGTCTGAGGAGGCTTCATCGTTGGAATCATAGCCGGTATCATGGATTTGGCGAGAATTTGCGTAGGATAACTGTAGTTCATTCATCATAAGAAAATAGGAAATAATGGTATTCAAATAGAGATGTGCAATGGATTATTATCTATCATACAAGAAGAAACTCTTTATTTCAGAGTTCAGAGGTTTATACTTTACTTGAGTGCTATTTCATGATTCTACACCTAGCCCTACTATAAAAATATACAATAAAAATTTATTAACACAATAAAAATTTATTATCATTTTGTAACACATGCCGAACACACCCTTATATAAAAACTTTAATATGCCAAAAAATATGCTATAAAAGTCACTTTTATGCCATAAAAGTGACATGCCGAACGGAGCCTAAGTTCTTTATTTAGAATACTTGAACTTTATATACTTACTCTAGGTATCAGCCCCGGGGCATGTATTTCTGCGACGCGGGCCCTCCGCCTTATTCCCGTTAGCTTTTGGGTTTGATTGCTATACGTAAGCTGTGATATGACAACTGTCCTGTACAGTATGCACTACTGAGTCTAGAGGTTAATTCTGGTTCATTATATTATTGTGCATTAGAGAAGAGCTATCCTCCATTATTCCGGAAAGGCTATTCCAATATGGGTAGTATATTTTTGGCGCAGCAATACGAGTGATGAACGATGATTCAACCAGATAAACCATTCATGTCATCATTATTGACGTAGTAGAGTAGGCTGAGTGTATAGCTTACGTATCTATTAGGTGTCATGCCTTTCCCCTCTCTCCGCATCTCTCTTCTTCCAACTTCTCCCCCCCCTCTCCGGTACTCCCTTACTATACTACCGGTATTCTTTACCCGTTTCTTTTTCTCGTCTTTCGGTTCCAATTTCTCTCTTTTTATCCTGATCTGACATCAGAGCCTTTAACACACCTATTGTGAGTATGTGGAGTGGCGGTTTTAGCACGGGCATGCAAGCAATAGGGGGGATTGAGGTTGGGGGGGATGAGAGTTACGGTGGTTTCGGCTTCTCCTCACCCGGCAGAATTTACCATAACCATTATGCACCTAAAGCTGTTAGTAACAGGGGATCTCCGCGGAAATCCCCCGGAAAGAGAGCTGCCTCTCAAGCCTACCCCCCCAGCCCTCATATCCTAAAACTTCAAGTTTCCATCCGACAGAACCACGGTCGAATACCTCCCACGATATCCTCGCCGGTTCAAATGCACAACCAACTTCGTCAATTGTTCCAGGAACAATCAGGCAGTGTGCGAGTGGAAAAACTGCCGGATGGATTGAAAAGCCTGAGTCCGGGAGAGATATTCAAACTTGATGCCATTCAGGAAGGGCAGCTGAAAGTTGATGGTGTATCCCCAGAAGATATAGGAAGGTGGGAGATCGAGTACCCAGGAGTTATCGAAAACAAGAATATTCAGTACGAATACAATTCTCTTAATGGACGATTCGTTATTCGGTGCTCCACCACACCCACGCATGAGGCCCTTGCCCAGTTCTTTACTGAAGGTGTTATTGGATCATTTATTGAGAGGTTTGGGAGAACAAAGGCGCAGTCTTTGATCAGGGCTGGCACTGGAATGAGTAAGCAATCTATTAGCTCTTCTGAATTTATCTAATAGTGATTAGCTTTCCAAGATTTTAAAGGAGACTTTTGTGGAAGATCCAAAAAGATTCCGGACGCCTATGTTATGCAGCCTGGTGCTGCTTTCCCCACTGTGGTATGTGAAGCCGGAATGAGCGAGACACATCTGCAGTTGATGGATGATGCGAGGTTATGGCTACTCCATACCGAGGGCCAAACAAAGATTGTAATTGTCGTTGAATTTACGGAGAGTTTTGATGGGCTTTCGGAGGAGGTGGGGGAGAAGAAACCGAGGGTTGGAGATGAGAAGCCTGAGATAGAGGACAATAGACCAGGGATGGAGGGTGACAAGCCGGGGATGGAGGGTCACAAGCTGGGGATGGAGGGTGATAAGCCGGGGATGGAGAATAATGGGACGGAGGTGGAGAGCCAAGGGCTAGGAGTTGAAAATGATGGGCCGCAGGTGGAAAATTGTGTGTTGGAAGTGAGTGCTGAGGACAACTTGAGCACAAGTGAAGAAGAGATGGTGGTAGAAAGTATTGATAGTACCACAGGATATCACGATTTGTCTACGAAGCTATTGGACTTGCATCGACGTGGAAAACTCAAGGAACCATTATTGGGCACCCTAGGGGCAATGGTGTATCTTTATCAGGCAAGCGAAGACGGAAAAGATATCGTGGAATCATTTAAGGCCACTCTGCTTCCACGACCTAAGAATGAGAAGGAAGGACTCCAGCCTATAGGATTTGGGGTGACACTAGGGGATCTCTTGGGAGGCGGTGTTCCGGAAGGCCATAGTTCTGTGGATGAGATCGAGTTCAGTTTGGAGAGGCTGGCGGAATTTGTGAATACTGCAATACCGCTAACAGAGAAGTACAGAGCCAGCTCTCGTGCAGTTAAGCTTCTGTGTGAAGCGGGGGAATGGGAAGAGAGAGAAACATATGCCCAAGGCAAAAGAAGGAGACTGAATCAGGCATTAGATTAAAAGAAGAAGATGGGCAAGGCCCGCATGCAGTGAGCATAAAACTGCTACTATGTTTATTTTTCCTTTGTCTTTAACTTATTTATTATTGTTGGGCTAAGGGTTCATCCTCTCTCTTCCATGACAGGGGTTGCACGGCAAGGGATATGAACTCGGAATTATACGTGTCTAGGAAGAGTGCGATGGGTTCGTCGTCGATGAGGAGACGGGGGTTGGTCTTGTTGCGGAGGAATTCTAGGGAATCGCACGGATAGTTTTTTCGTTTTACTACATAACCGCACCGGAGTTACTTTAGTATAATCCGGATGTAAAAGAATAGAGGAGTGGGCATACACTTGGCAATGGTGTGAACATATTTTTCTCCCGACACCAACTTTGCGCTAACAGCAACACATCTCTCTTTCCCAACTTTATCACCAGTCAGCATCCAAATCTTGGTTCCCGCATTCCTGAGAGCATTCAAACTAGGTTTGACATCCTTCCGCAGCCTATCTACAAAACATCTCGCTCCCGAGGGCTTCAAGTCATGCTCAATATACTCCTCCAAGGCCTTGCCCATCTCCTTGCCCCTATTAATGAGCATCAAAAAACGCAGCTTCGTGTTTTGCGGGGGATCCCCGGTAGTGATGAATGGAAAGATTCTTCCTTCCAACAACCATGATCCTTAGTCCCTCCGGGACCATATCACCGCACTGATTATTTAGCCAGTCTTTACCCTGGATAATAGAAAACACGACAGTATTCACCCCCTTCTGATAGAACAAGATGTCTCCAGAATTAGAGTTTTCCTCCGCACCACCACCAAGAAAATCCGGTTCAAGGTATTTGTACTGGTACATATTAGAGGGCTTGCGCACGAGAGCCTAGGTAGAAGTTGACATAATAACCTTGCCATGGTTATAGACCTACGGTAGGTACAAGAATAAGTTTGCGCAACACGTGTAGGTAGCTTGGCAGCTTGATGATGGTAGAATCAGTATCATAAATCACACAGAATATCTACATTAAAAAGAGAAGGGAAAAAATCAAAACACATGAAAAGGGTGATAAAACAACCTCAGCCCCAGGTAAGCAACCTCCAGCTATAATGCTTGCCACATATTCTTACACAAGAGAAAGGCTTGATAACCCTACCACTTTGCAGAAACCCATCCCTTACCTGCCCAAAAGCAATAATCCCAACCACAGGACAATAGCTAGCCTAAAGATGGGTGTGAAGAGAGAAAATATGGCCAGAAAAACCCCCATTGAATGACATTTTTTATTAGCACGTCTAGTTGATAATTCCGTTCTTGACGATTTTTCACTTGCAAAACCTCCATTGCGATACTGCCCGGCCTGTTGAAAATGCAATGATAGCGTGCCCAGTATCATTAAATCGTCGGCCGCAGAATCCCCCTGGAGCCAAGACAACTGCTGCCCTTATGCAACCCCCTCCAACCTAGTGGCTATCTCTACCTCAAATCTCTCTCATGCATAGGGACCAGCTAGGATCTCACCCACCATATCAGTCCCTGGTGGGAAGTCGTGCTCGAAGATCGGTTTCCCTGCTCCTCTGACATTCGCAAGGACTGATTGGCGGAAGTGCCAACTTAGAAGATCATCAGATACAGAGTGGGGATCGGCCAGGTTTTGGCACACGGGATCAAGACTTTTACCGTCGTAGCCAAAAATATCGAAGCTGAACACAACTACCTTGTAACCGTCATCTGGGTTAATGGAGATGAGGTACTGATCGAACATTTGCTGGACATCTAACCGAAGAAGAAACCCGTTTCGAGGTGAGTGGATCTTTGAGGATTCGGTAGCACCATCCTTGCCTACGATCCATCATCTATAGTCATACTGAATGCAAAGACTTGAGCGCTCGGGGGGGAAGATAGGGGTAGCCTCGAAAATGGTCCAGTTATTGGACTGGATACAGATTTCAGGATTCAAAAATTCCCGAAATAACACATTTCCAGTCACGATTACGGATGTCATCATGGAAACTATTGTCTCCGCTAGCAATTTTATGAGAAATCAACTAGTGTACCCAAGGCTCATCACGGACTTGGATAGAGCCTGGCAAAATTAGCAATTGGGCCATCGAGTAAATGGGGGGAATGTAGCACATACCTTCACAATGAATATCGTATACTCCTACTTGAAGGGGCACTTCTGTTCTGAATACGATGTGGCTCGACTCCCGCTCTTGAACACATATCGGACTCACCCCAACAATAAGTAAGATTCCGAGCATGTCAAGAAAGTTTGTCTCGGTTATAGACCCGTTCTGGACAAGCCCTCTAAGAACCTCATCAAGACTGGTAGAATCATAAAATTTGACATTGCGTGGGAGAGAGCGATTTTGTTAGGGGGTAGGTAACTCTAAAGTGAAGTGAGTATACACTAGGCCCTGTAATCTTCTGTCTCGGAGATAGTCAAGAAGGCTCGTAAAGATAGAAGTAAAGTGGAACGAATAGATTGATAAGATCTCCTCTCCGGTTGCTGATGATAGACTTAAGAGCTCGGGATTTTTTTTTTGTTTAACTCATATATTCTTTGTTAAGGTACAAGAACCTGCATGGAGCGCTAGCTATGGCAAAAACAAAACCTTAATTCCAAACGCATTCCTCCGCGCCCCAGGGAACAAAACAACCCCCCCAAGACCCTCTGGTATGGGTCCAACCGCACATCCCGCCCCGCAAAGGAACAATCGTCCTCTACAGGGAAGGCAGGAAGGAGAAGAAAACCCTTCAGCATCATCTCGACAAAGGAAAGAATAGATTAGGAAACCCCCAAGTGCCTCTACAGGTGTTCGCGAACGAATATGTCCGCTGTCGGGCCCACAGTAGGACCCTGGTGAAATGCCATGACGGAGCCGGCCAGCTCAACCCAGGAGATAGTGCAATACCAAGGTAGGCCAACCAGCTGTTCGGTCGGGGGTGGGCCGCAAGCGTGGAGAGAGGAAGACTGGCGAGAGATGCCAGCAACCTGAGATAGAGGGGGGCAGCCAATACTGCAGAGAAGGGGGGGGTAGACCCTGGGCATCAGGAGTCTGGAGGTGGAAAGGCTGGATGATGCGCGACATCAGAGCCAGGAAGGATTGTAGCGCTGCCGCGACGGTGGCAGAAGAGGGAAAAGCACCAGTGAAATGGCACAGAGGGGAGGAAGGGTGGCCGAAGCACTGCCCCTTAGGGGTGGTGGGGCCCGAGGGCCCAGGCAGTAGGGTGCCAGCCGATCCCAGAAGAGAGGAGAGGAAGAGGGCAAGGCAAACAAAGGAACCGGCCAAACGATACGGTAGGAGGCTGCAACTGGGGTCACAGGAGTAGCAGGTGTTTTACCGCGTCTGTCATGTAGTCCCTTGTTCTGGGAGAGATAGCGTCACTATAGTGGAAGGGATCCCACTACCTGCCACTCCCGATAGCCCAGAAGACCACCAGCCCAACTGACCGCTCAACCATCAACCCAGCCGCCAAAGCCGACGGTGCAGATGCTAAGCGAGGTGTAGCAAAAGCGGGATAGGGAGGAGAGAGGCCTCACGATGAGACCCCCAGGGTGAGGAGTGGCCCCCCATCCAGCAGAGGAGAGATGCCAGGCAGGGGAGAGAGGAGAAGGGAGGCCCCGTTGGGCGAAAGGATGGAAGGCATCAGCCTGCACCCCCCAGCGGGGGGGTGCAAGGCTAAAGAAAAGTGGTGATAGTTCCTCGGTGTTGAGTCGTTCCCGATTAGGAAATATTTTTCAATGACCGGAGGTGTAGGGGAGACGGAGGATGACTTAAGAGCTTCGGG